TATTATTATTATTATTATTATTATTATTATTATTATTATTCGCTCTGTAATAAGAGGTTGTGAAGCATTCGACTGTGTATCACGTATATACACACATATATGATTATGTTTAAAATACGTGTTATGATTTAAAGTTTCCTAAAAATTACTCACATGTTTTATGATATATATGTACATTAACTATATATATGTATATTTATATATAGGGTATTTCTTAATATATGGAATCCATTTCGAGTGAACAGGGGATACAAAAAAATTTATAAAAATTCATATAAAAATGTGTCCTATTTGATTGTGTTTCAAAGTTTTAGCTACTTTCGTGTTCCAATAATCTACGATAATTTATCTTCATAAAAGGTGTCATAAAAGGTATTGATTTCTATAGTGGGTCCCATATATTACGAAACATCTTGTATACAGATCTATATACATATACATATACTCGTTCTTTTGTATACGTATTATACATAATTAGCGTGCTGCATCTTCATAATCCGTAAGACGATCAGATTTATATATTTTAAAAGTATCGTCACGGTACAATTAAGCTAATCGTCGAACACATTTAATGTTCTAACAAGGAAGAACCATTTGTCCTCGTAAAAATAGTGAAACAATGTTAATATAAATTAATGCTGCCATTTGTGTGTATAAAAAAAAAAAAAATAAGAAGAAAAAGAAAACGAAAAAAAAGAAAAAAAAACCCATAAAAAATTATGCGATTTCATACCATGTATGTGTATAGAACCGTAGAATATGGTATACAAGTTTTAAAATGCGCTAACTATCTAAGATAAGATCTTAGAATTTGTTAGAAAAGATATCGTCTAACACAATGAAGTTTAGAAACGAGAAAGTGACTGACTAAGATTGTATTATACTTTTTGATCATTTTTCTATTACGAGAAACGTAGAGATCGTTTCGTCAGGGTTTAAAAAAATATTAGAAGAAATGAGAAAAAGAAAAAAAATTACAAAAACAAAGAATTTAATAAGTAAATAAATGTCGCGAGTTCAGCGCGCCATCATGATGGTTGAAAATTCGAATCTTGAATTTTACATATATTCGTTCTTTTCTTTTTTTAATTTTACAAAGACCAAAATAAAAAATATTTGTCGTTGTTTTTCTAAACAATATTATTAAAATTTATTTTTATCACACAATTTTCGATGTAAAACATAATTTATTGAAATTATTTATATTTAAACGTGAAAGAAATATTTTGTAAAACAATAAAACATTGTTTTCTTTTTTATGCGAAAAAAAATAATAATTAAAAATAATATATAAATAAAACTAATAATTTCGTACTTTTCATGGTGTTTATTTGTTGTTTTAAATAATTTAAACTTATTATATATTTTTTCTTATTATGTGAATATTTATTATATTTGAAAATTGGATAGCGCGTTAAATCTACGACAATAAATAAATACAAAAAGTAAAAGTAAAATAAATATCTAATCCTAATTTGATCGAATATATATTAAGAAGAATACATTAAAAGAAGAAAAGAAAAAGAATTAAATAAGAAGACAAAAAATGGAAGAACTTTTTTAAAACTACCGAGAACCTGTAATGCGTGATTTGTAATAATAAAACTGTTTTCGTACTTTTATTATAGACGCGTCGAATAAGTTTTAGTATCTAAGTTAATTTATACATATACATATACATATATATATATATATATATAATAAATATATACATACATATACACTATAAATATATATATGTATATATTTAAAACGTTTATAAATAAATATATATATATATATATATATATGAACAATATATATATTAAGTCAAGTATAATATACAATTCATGTTTTTTTGTATATATAACGTGTTGGTTATATTCCTTTCGTACATGCATTAGATAAATATTTCCTTTCTTTCATTTTTCTTTTTATTTTTTTTTTAAACATAATCACGGCATAATGGAGGTAAAAAGCTTTATCGCTATCGAACGCTTTTTTTCTATCAGGCATTTACAATCTTGACACATCCATTCATTAAGGTGTGAAACATGAAGTAATCATTTCAAATACCGTTCAATACTTTGCTATACATTTTTCAGGTCAGTATTCTATTTGATATTTTCTACTAACATAATAATTCAATAGAGAAAGAAACATACACATAAACAAAAGAACCTTTACAATGACCGTTCGAATTTTTTTCATCCTTACGATTTTTCAATATTTTGTTAACAATGCTCTTGCCGTGAGTGGTTTGATATGGGATAAAAGACAACAAAATTTTGTGCAGTTATATTCTATACCGAAATTTGCAATTTTACACGCGGAAGCACGCGCGAAAAATCGACAAACAGAATTGTATCATTTCGATCGTAAACCCATAAGAGTAACTTATTATGAGGTTTGTATATGTTATTTATATATCTGTTAATAATTATATAATATTATATGCATTTGTTTGATATTTTTATTTGTGTAGTTATACTACGAGTTATGCAAAAGTGAAATAGATTTTGTTTGTATTTTTTTTTTTCAACCTTCTCTAAAATAGGTTTCAAATTGTTTTATATGATTCATGTTTAGTAATATTTTGAGACACTTAGGTTTGAATTATTTACTAATTATTTTTCTACTTATGCTAACAAAAAGAATAAATAAGTAAGCATATTTATTTAACAAAAACAATTGTATTGTTGTATTTTGTAAATAAATTAAAAATAAGATGTAACAAAATATGCATGCCAAATGTTTGAAATTATTTTCGTAATATTTGATACTATAAAAAATATTTATATATTTTGTTGACTCATTGCAAATGATGTTTCTTATTTGATTTAGGCCTTCCATATAGCCATGTTCTACGAAAATGATACCAAAATTACAGGTTTAGCCGGTGATTTATGGACAACTCTTTCTGATTATTTAAATTTTACGTACGTATTAGAAATCAAATGATTTCCATTATAAATATCGGGCACAAGTTGATTATCAAATTCTATTTAATTTGCTCGTAGATTAATACCAGTGAAATGTCCGACTATTTCATTCGGTAAACTTTTACCAAACGGTTCTTACGATGGAGTTATGGGTATGCTTCAACGAAATGAAACTGACGTCATTTTGCGAACCGGACAATATAAGTTTCATAAAAATAATATGGCTTTTACCGTGCCCATTTACCGTACAGGGTAATCTTAAGTTCAATTCTATTTTTATCAAACTTTAAAAAATTTTTTTTAAAAATATGTAAATTAAATTAAAATGCAAAATAATTAATTAACAAGTTTTATCATTATGGTTTATACGTTTGATTATTAATAATTAATATCGATAATAAATTAAAATTCAATTTCATTTTTGCAAAAAGGTCGAATTTCACTTTGAATTTGATTCAAAATTTGTAAAACAATTTTTAATCTATTTCATCTATGTTTTTGTATTTGTTTTTCAGATATAATTTATTAATCCGTCCAAAATTATATTACGACAATATGTGGTTAATATCAATGTTTTCACCCAATACTTGGTACTTCATTATATCATTATTCGTGATTCTAAGCCTTTTCGGTTTCTTGGCCCAAAAAATACCAACAATTAATTCTAAAGAATATAAAAACAATGTGAATTTCAATTTGAGCGATCACATCTTTCACACATTTGCTATAATGTGTTCGCAAGGTAAAAATAAATGGAAAATATCGATTAATCATTTTACGCGTTCGCGTTAAATATTTGTTGTAAAATATCTAATTTTATAAATCTTAAACTAAATATATATATATATAAATATATCAATTAATAACAAATTTAGTTATTTTCAATTGATTATAAAGTACATGCAATTTTTTAATTGTAATTGATTCGATATTTCAAATTTGTATAAAAATAGATTACATAATTGAAAAGTAAATAATTTGAGAAGCTTTGCTTTAAATAATTAAGAGAAGTCATTTATATATATTAATTATTATCAAATATTATTAATTAATTAATGTTATATTATTCATTAAAAGATAAAACATTGGCACATATGAAATAAAAATATTCTTTTCTTCAAGGTTACCTTCCAAAAGAATTCTTCGACAAATTCAAGATACTCTCTTATTCGAAGAATATTTTCTCTTGGTTGATTTTCCTAACTTTTAGCTCGAATTTGATTTATCAAATGACCAATAGGAAAGTGATACCACCGTTTTACAATATAACAGATTTATTTCATAAAACAGATTATATTATCATCGGTTTCTTTGGGTCAATGATTCATGAAGAATTCGAGGTATGAAATTAATTAACTTGTGTAACATTTTACTTTTTTTTTTATTAATATACCGAGTGTACCACGTTATTTTATTATCTCAAATATTTTACTTATTTTTCGTTCGATGTATAAAATGATACTTAAATATGTTTGATATGATTATTAACAATATATGATTATTAACAAAATGTGAAAGGAATAATAGTAATAGTAAAAATTTACAAGATATTTATTTAAGATATAAAATAAATATAGAAAAAATATTTTTTAAATATTTAACAAAATGTTTTAAATATTAACAATATCCAAATATAATTATTTTAACATCCATATAATTAAATTGTATCCAAAGTTTATTAATTACCAAAAATAATCAACAAACTTTGAAATAATTTTTCTGAAAAATGTTAAAAGTACACTACCTCTTTTTTTTCAACCACATCAGTCATTCGTCATGAAAAATTACTTTTCGTAATATTAAAAATAACGTAAAAAATATTTTAAATAATAATGTTACGTGAGATAAACTTGATATATAAAAATATATGATTAATTTGTATTTTAGGCTAGAATAAAAAAACAAATTACAGATAATCCTAAATGGAACAATCGCGTACAGTACGTGGCAGAGAATCGGGATTTATTTACAAAAGTTTGCAAAACTAGAGACAAATATTCGATATTTGAAATACAAGACATGTATATAGTGGCGAGTAGATACATTTGTACTTTAATTCCCGTAGGAAAGCTCTATTTTCCAACGTGGATTACTTTTGGGATACAAAAATATCTTCCTTACAAACGTACGATCGATGTGGCGTAAGTTTTTCTTTTCTATTTTTTTTTTCATATAAATTTATAAAAATTAATTTTTTCTTTAAATTGTGTGAGATAATATGAACGAGCATTAGGGAAGAGAATTGACGTAATCTTAAGCTTGCAATTATGGAAACTAAAAATCTTGTTCGAGAAACATGAGATTAGAATCTATATTAGAAATTTCATCATACTGACAATGTTTGTAAAACATATTTAAAAAAATGATAATAAAAAATGTTTTTCTTGAATAATTAAAAGTAAGATAGTAAAGCTTCATCGAGCTGAAATTGAATCAATGCACGTGTACTTTAAAAATCTACAAACTTATTTTTCTCCAAAAAACAGATTGTATTCTATATTTTCAATTTAGTTTTTCCATGTAGAATCAACTTCCCTCCCCCTTCCTTATTTGTACTACCAATTACAGAAAACTGTCTATATACTTATATATTTTTATTCGTAGGATCATCAAAATGCAGGAAGTTGGATTGGTCGACAGATTAAAAGATTCTTGGTTGTTTATAAAGCTTGACAACAAGATGAACAATGAATTTCAAAAGATCGATTTAAATCAAATATATGTAATATTTTCTATTCTATCGATAGGATTTATAACATCCTTTGTAGTACTTGCTATAGAACATGTCATTTTTTATTATGAATCAAAAAAAGGTACGAGCAAAAAACGCGTTAGACGAAAGGGCTAAAAATATTAACTTAATTTTAACGGTAACATATACACATGTAATATTATTACACGTATAATTATAAACCTTTAAAATGATGGAACTTTTTTTTATCACCTTGTATAATTTTATTGTCTGTTTATAAAAAAAAACTTTTAATGCACATTAAACGAAATTAAACCTTTTAAAAAAATATGACATTAAATTCTTGTATACACTTAATCCATTGTACATTTAACAAAAACACTTAACACGTACACACCAAATAAGATTAAACTTTTTAAATAACATAAACGTACTGACATTTCCTTTTTCTTTTTTTTTTCTTTTTTTTTTTCATTTCAATTGAAATTGATCTTTCATTTGTACTCTATTACATACAAACATTATTATTACGTGTATTATTACTTGGGTATACAATAAACAACACGAAAGAATAACATATGACTAATGGAAACAGAAACTCGGTCGCGTTAAAAGATCAATCCTTATTATAAAGAATTTCTGTTCACATGTGCGCGTTCTAATCTGTAGAAAAAAAAAAAACAATTAGATAACAAATCACTATTGAAATGTCTAACCTAAATATGATATCATGCAAACATGCTTAATGATGAAATAACACGCGACTTTTTAACTTTTTAAGGAATCTTCACTTTTTCATCGAGAAACATGAATTTTGTCCCATGCATTTAGTTACTATCCGTTTCGTGAAATACTTTTTCTTCTCCTCTCATTATGAAATGTATATTATTGATAGCAACTATTCAAGATTTATTCGGATTCTCTTTAACAATCGGTGGTGTAATATGGAACAAAAATCTTGGTGCCTTTGTACCCATATTTAGCATTAATCGTTATTGGATGATTCATCAAGAAGTATTGTCGAAAAAACGAGAAATGGAGACGCATAATTTTCATAAAGAAATTATTGAATTTACCTACTTTGAAGTAAAAAAAATAAACCTAGAAAAAATATTTTTATTTAATTAAAAATTAAAAAAAAAATTTCTTTATTTAATTATATTTTTAATGATCCAATTTTTTTGATTTTATTTCATCTTCTTATAAATTTGATTTGATTTAATATATATTATTTGAAAAATAATATTCAATAATAATCAAATAATATTTGTATTTTTTTTTGTTTTTATTTTTACTACACAGGAATCAAATATAGTGTCTTACAGCGACAATGATACTAAGATCAGTGGCCTTGCCGCGGATATATGGAATTTACTCGCTGAATCTTTAAATTTTACGTAAATGTCAATGCATAATGAATTATTTCGTAAATGTTTTCCTAATATGAGATATTATTCTATACAAAAATATTCATTTTTGTTTTCAGATTGAAAACAATACGTTCGGACGTAACAACTGTGGGTACTTTTACCATTAATGAAAAAGGTATTATTACTTATCAAGGCTTGTTAGGTTTACTACAACAAAATAAAACCGATGTAGTACCGAAAATAGGGATGTATCCTAATCGAATCGTTGCTGCTACATTTACACCTGCTCTTTGGACTACACTGTAACAAGATTTATTAGAAATTAAGAAAAATACAGTCCACATTAGCCTGTCTCGTCCATCTCCTATACGTTCTTTTGTAGTTTATTCTC